AGACGCAATGTTTTGCCCAGTCCGACTTCTGGAACCATGCAATTGCTGAAACTTCAGGGTCAAGTTGCGTCCATGAGGCGTCAATACTGTGTGGAATAGTGGCTTCAAGACATAGTGTAACCCTGTGTCTGGTCGGGACTGGAGCATTCACTTCGTCTTGCGACCCAAATGCCCTGTGCAGGGAGCAGGCAAGGTCCTGGTCTGATCTGTGTTGGGAGTTATCAAATGGATCATGTTCTGGCCGGCTAGTGGGGGGCATCTCGGCCCACGGCATCTGGGAATCCCAGGGGTCAGGTTCATCAGGATCTTGAGCCGCATGTCTGTGAATTGCTACGGTAAGGGATTGGCCATCAAACAGTGGTATCGCCTCATGGGGAAGCAATTCACGGTCTCCAGCCCAGGCGGAGCATTCATTGGTAGGCTGTCAGCACTCTTGATCTTTGTATGCAATACCTAATAGGGTATGATACGGGATGACATGTGGAGCCATCGATGCGTGCCTTTGAGGAGGGAATCCCTCCAGGGCTGAGTCGACAACATTAACTAGCACTGAGTTGAAATTGTCAATGGAATGTTGCACAAGTATGACGTGCAATGCAACGTCAATCTCCATTTCAATCGGATTGGGCTGGACAATGTGAAAGTGCAACGGCTGGTCCAATAAAACAAAATCACTCCATGCCATACGGAGAAGGTGGGTCCATTCTTCCGGGTCTTGGTAAAGCTGCACGGCTCTCGATGCAAAGCACTGTGGGAGTCGTACATGATCAATATACCAAGACACAACCGTGACCGATGGATCATCCTGCCGGGCAGAAAGCAAAGACAGCGGTTGCCAGGCACTTTGCAATACTGAGTGAAACGTCAAAAAATGAAATGAGCTTGATGGTGTCCCTTCTCTAAGAGGTGGGGTGATGGTGACAGAAATCGCATTGGCCGTCGGCTCTTGCTCTCGATTTGGATGACTTCTGGGTCCGGAGCGAAAGGAATGGTCTACCAGGGAGTGCAAACTGCGGATCTGCTTTTGAATCTTGGTAAAACTGATTTGGATCAGCGTTACGTCAGTGTCCCATTCTTCATCCAAGGAGGAAAGTGCAATCTCGAACTGGTATCCATTTCGGACTGGGAATGTCATCTGACCTTGAATCACAATAGAACCATGGGTGATCTCGCACATTTGGTTGGGTCGAAATGGCCGGCATCTGTCTGTTATCCCAACCTCCTGAATAATGACTTGCTCAGTGACCTGCGAAGGTAACTGAGTGCAGAAGGAAGTGGGGTGCCACGGGTCCTCAAGCATCTCAACTACAGTCAGTACTGCTGCTCTGGTGGCAGGGTTCTGCGCCTGAATGACAATGACATGAGCTGCAACGTTGGGATCTCCTCCTAAAGGGTGAGGTTGCACTAGCTGCAGTGTGACATCCTGAGTAGGGTCAAGCCAGTCTTGCCATCGGTTCAAAATTTCAAATGGCCAATGCATCGGCAGCTGTCCTAGTAGTACGGCTCTAAAATGATCGGACCTGGGCAAACGGTGCACGTCTGAGAACCAAGTGTGGACAGTCAGTTGCCTGTGTGGTTGCATCGCACATAAAGGAGGTAATTGGTCAATCTGCCACGCAAGAGCCTGTCTGAAACTGGCAATGTCCCGTATATGCAATAACGGCATACTATTGGGCGGAACATGAGCTGTTGCGGGGATGGCATCTGATACTCCGGTCGGTGGGGCAATCGCGTGTGGGCTGGCCTCAGACCTCTCTGGGATCTGTTGCATTGTCTGTGTCCGTCCTTCCTCAGGAATGACTGGCGGTCTTATGGGTCTTTGCATAAAAGACATGGCATCTACATCATATGATTGGCTTGACGAGGCAGTGCTAGTGAGGTGCGCACTTTCGTGTACATTTAGTACTGCACTCATACCTGAGAAAATTTCCTCTGGCTGGTCAGTCTGGAATCGGAGAATCCCTGACCACATGTGACATGGACGCTCAACACAAAAAGGCCAGAGGTCATGCATTTCAATCATCATGTTGGTGGAAATGCTGTCAGGTACTGATTCTGCCACCTGAAGGATTCCCTGCCTTGATCCACCGTGAAAAACAGTAGTGAAGTGCAACGCAACCTTTCCGGGAGTCATACCTTGTTCAAGGATGACATGAACGACAGCTTGACTGCGCATCGCATGAGTCGGCATAGGCTTGACAATTAAGACCTTGAGGGGTTCCTGCCGGTGAATGTGGTCAAACCAAACAGTGCAAATGTCCGCGTACCAAAGGTCAAAAATGTTGTCCAACCTTACCATGCGTGGCGCTGTACAACGTGGCATGGTTGTGTGATGCACGTACCATACATCAATGCTCATTTCCGGGCCGGTTGCAGCTTGGTGTGTTCTGGCATATTCTTCAAACAATGAGGTCAATTCAATCATCCAGATAGGTCGGGGTCTCTGCGCTGTGCCCTGCGGCAGCGGTTGCGCTGGGATGGGCACATTGAAGTCAGGAGGTGACTCCGTCTGCTGATCTGAACAACGGTGTTGCAAATGTGGATGTGAGATCCCCTCAATGAGGTGGGCGTCTGACACTCTGCCTTGCACAGAAAAGTGGTCAATGGCATTGCAGTTATCTGTGGTTGGTGGCACTGGCAACTCGTCCCTGACAGCATTGCTGATGCACCTGGGTTGGAAAAACTGCTTGAGTGACGTCTGTCCCTTCGGGATGCCTTTGCATTTTGAAAATTGACCTTTCTTTTTGAAAAATTGCCCAATTTTTGTTTGCTGCTGTACTCCTTTGGTAGAAGCATTGGCATCCTGAATTCCACGGGATGTCGAAGCCTGGATCTGTTCTGCCTGGCAGCATTGCTTGAAGCATTGAAGATCGTGCTTCACGGTGGAGTCAGGATTTGCAGGCTGAGGCCCTTCTTCTGTTCCAGGGCACTGGGTGTTCATAACAACCTTCGGTTGCAGTACAGCACCTAGCGTTAGCAGCCTGTCCTTGCTCTTATGAATGGTGGGCAGTTGATCTGGTACATCTTGCGCATTTCCAAGTTTCTTCAGATTTTGGGCAAATCTGGATCCTGTGGTTGGTTTCGGTGACTGGGTTGCGGCATACTGAAAAAGGGCTGTGTCATCGTCCGCTTCCTCTGGTTCAGTGAGGAAGTTCATGAACGCATCGCTTTCCTGGTCTTCCTGGAGCGTCTCAACTGCCATCTGAGTGTCCAACGTAGAATTTGGATATGGTGGAACAGTGATGAGCACATATGAGCCATGCCTGGTCGGCCGTGATCCGTGATCATGTCGGGGCCAGTCGGTGCCATCAAGTGAGAGCTCACATTGATCTTCGAAAAACTGACAGTAATGAAAAACCCCTGCAGTCAAAAGAAGGTGCGATCTCAGAACTTGATACCCAATACGATGCACTGTCCTAATCACTGTTGGATCTCTAGGCTGTTCATTGGGTGCTTGTGGAAAGAGATATCTGGTATCTATGAGAATCAATCGATCTGTTGATCTGCGGGGAACATCTCCAGTCCTTTGCACAATGGCTGGAATGGCTAGCTCAGGAAAATCAACAGGCCTCGTCGGGATAGGGTATACCGCTTCAAGGTGTTGCAGCGGAACATTGAGTGCCGTTGCCATTTCATGGGAGGGTTGAACGAGTTGTGCATTCACAAGATGCATCACGATCTCCTGTCCATGAAGTTGAAAAAGGTGTAGTGCAGTCATAAACCTGTTTGCTCCTGTGGATGAGCTTGCCAAGGTGGGACTGCGGGGCGGGGAAGTGCCATCTGATTCACATGGATTCTCAGGAGCAGGGTCATTGTGGTCAATCCGGCTGCTGGAAGAAGTCACTGGTGCGGTAGGTCCTCTGGGCTGTGAGGTCATGTGTACGAGCTCTGCTGCTGCATTAAGAACAAGTACTTGGAAACCATCACCATGACCAGTGTCATGTGTGGGTTGCAAGGTGTTGGGGATGTCTTGCCATCCAAATGTGATTCTACATGTGTTGTGTCTGCACATTCCTGCAACATCAGCCGCTGTAATAATGTCATAACCACCAATGTGTTCGGCAAAAGAACAAGCCACTGAGAAGATATCAAAGTGTAGACGATTCTCAGACATCACTGTGACCAAACCTGCAAAACGTGGTGAATCCAGTGATTGAGTGATGATTATGTCAAGCGCAACAAATCTTTGTGATGCAGTTCTTGGCGGGTCAGGATTGATGATGGTGAGGTCAAACCAGTCGTCAGTGTCAATCTGGTCCATCCATAGAGAGGAAAATTGTATGACATCCCATGTATGAAATGGAAATTAAACAATGTTTTAAAACCACCAAGCAGAACACTATGGAATCCCAAAAATATTTGAAAAATGCATTTTTCATAGATAGTCAATGCTTTGGAGGTGATAGTCCCACTACAGGATTGATTTATGATCTTGCTTCATAGATCATCACTCTTGGTGACTAGATTCACAAATCTGCTTCAAGGGTCTAGATACAAACCTTGACCGGTCAAAGCGTCCATGAAAATTACATTAAGTACCAAATTCCTGGGTCAAACACATCTTTTGTTAATGGATGTGTTGAGGATCTAGGTAATGTATCTGAAACAAGTCGAAACGAGTATGTGGATAATCAATGACAATAATGGATGTAATAAATAGATAGCTGCTATCCACATTCCCTTCCATTTGCCACATGATCTCATAAACCAACCGGATTGTTATAGATTCTATGGTCTATGAACTGGCGAATCTGAAATCATGTATATAAATAGTTTCCAGCAGGTTATGTTGGTGTAATTGGTGGATTTAACTTTTTTGCACATGAATCTCATCATGAATTCTGGTGGAGTTAATCCCATTCATTTCAAAAATCCCAACATATCCTCACGTTTTGTTGGAAAAAAAAACATATTTCCCAATACCGGGGATACCCTCCAGACTCGCTGGAAACATCCACCCTGGCTTCGATGATTTCCCAACCTCCACGATGCCCAGGTGCGGCCGCGTTCCCGGCCACCACCAAAGCAGCCAAGGCTGACCTGTCTGCTGCTTGCAGCAGCTGCAGGGACTGCTGCCAGCTGCAGACGTTGATCCTGGGGAAACGTCACAAAGATCAACGGTTTCAGTGGAAAGTCAATCTGAAAATCATCTGACTCTGGGTCAAAATATGTCAAAATGGGGTACCCCAATCATCAACCTGCAGGCTACTGAGAAAAATCGACGAAAATCATCGAATTTCCGGGGTCCTTTTTTTCACAGCCATCATCAATGGGTGCGGAACCATGGGAATGGCATGATGAGGGAGATCATCCCTGGGGCCACCTTCCGCCCCATGAAAACTGGCAGCTCGGCATGGTTTTTACACCATGAAATCCACTGGGTGTTCATCCCATTGAGCTGAAGATACCCTGCAACTTGTAACTTTTTAAAGTGTTTTGTTGCTTCGTTTGTACCCTATCTCGAAATCAACAAACAACACTACAAACAACACTACAAACAACACTACACAACAAACAAGTATTTAATTTTTCAGATCATACCCTCTATAGTAAATTAACACTTCAACCTCTGAAAAATAACAGAAAAAATCACAATTTTTTGGGAGTGGTTTCACAAACATCGTCCAACCCCGATGACCAGGGTCTTTCTGGGATCCTGGGTACCATCCGCCGAGGCTCGCCGCGCCGAAGCAGACTTGGTTCAACTGAAGCAGCTGCGCGGCCGCCAAGCGCAAGGCGTCTGGGCATACTGTAGGTGTTTTTGTGGCTAACCATACGATAAGCTATAAAGTTATATGGAATATCCCCAGGTATAATATATATTATATATATTATAATATGTGGTTTTATATATGGTTTATTCATGTTTATATTATATAACTATTATTAAACGTTGCCAAAGTAGCAACGCGTCGATTTTCTGGGGGTCTATATATCTGAACATGGGGTGGAATCACCCGCTAATTTAATTAATATAATTCTGGCAAAATCTTAGCATGCCGGTACTTCCCAAACTCGGAATAATGAGGCATAATGAGGCCCAATTGGGGATGACGTCAGGTCGTTGCGCTTGCTGGAATTCACACAGATCCATATAATATCATATAAGCATATATAAGCCCATTTTGGCACAACACCCGAGCTGATGTTTGTCAAATTTCCATGGAATATTTATGAATATTTGATGACCACCCCATGTTCGAAGCCAGAAAAATCACTGGCAAAAAGTGACTGTCCCCGAACCGGGCAATCGCTCGGATTGGTCCCTGCTGTGGTTCTGGCTCCTTGCCTAGGCCTTGTTGCCACTGTTGGCGACATGCTGCGACAACACTGCTGTAGCTGGCGCAATTGGGCCTAGGTCTTGCAAATGTCATCCCAACATTGGTCTCAACAGTTGAATCCAAGGACTGAAGTCAGCGGCAAAAACATCATTCCCAGCCGAATGCACCATGTTTTCGCTCGGTGGAGGTTCAGTTGAATTTTGTCACTTGGCACCGCCAGGTAGCCCTGGAAATGTGAGCTTTTTGAAAGTAGTTGTGATGGTCGGCAAAGGCCCGCAGCACACAAACCACAAGAAGAATTGGGACGATCAGGAAATGATTCGTGACCATCTTTCCTTGGGGTTGAGTCTGAAGAATTCGAAAGTTGTTTCTCCCAAACTTGGCATACATAAAAACAAAACAATAAAAAAACATCTATAACAGGCTTCTAACTCCAGCTCCTGTCACTACAATGACACCGCACAACTCACCATTCTTCCCGATCCTCCCAGCCCAGCCGGTTCCCGGCCGGTTCCCGGCGTCGACGCCACCGCTGTGTCTCCCGGCACCACGCGCACAGCTGCCATGCTGAAGCACAGCTGCAGCGCGCTGTGCCACGCAGAACCGCCGCGGCAGGCGCTGATCAGCGCGCTGCAGAAGGCTACATCGAAGCCTGGGGTCCGCCGTGGTCCTTTAAAGGGGGGAAGGTATACAAGGTCAACATAGACAGATACTTGATGAATTGTGATTTTAATGGTAAGTGCCCAGAATGTCTGAAGGTTCATGGTGCAATATGTATCAAACATCATGTTTTGAGTATATTTGAAATATGGTGTTAACATGGTTTAACATGTTTTAACCATGGTTATATGACGGGATGACAACATTTGTTTATTTATGGAACAAGCGTAATTACAACCAGCAGAAGGTCAAAATCACCAAGAAATTGCTGGATGACTTGTGGGCTGATCCAGCCCATCTGAAATCAGGGCCCCAGGGCTGGGACCATGTTCAACCTTAAAGCTAGTGATCACTCTTAAGATCCTTCAGTATATGTTCAAATGGTTCTATATATATATATATAAAGAGGTTTCCTAAAATACGGGTACCCCATTTTTGTTTGGGATTTTCCATCATAAACCATCCATTTTACGGGTAACCCCATGACTATGGACCCCTTGATATAATAGTTCTCTATCAAAACCAAGACCAAGTTGATCCTGTCATAGATTATCAACCTGTAGCAGGACCTGCAACAATGACTGAGCCAAAAATTGGCCCACACCCGAATGAACATGGCGTACACCAAAATAGGGTACCAAAATACCACACAGAATCAATCCAAAAAGATTTCGTCAAATCATTAAGTCAGTTCATCTGACTTGACATGGTTTGAATGGTAGGTGGGCCTAACCCAGTTCACTGTCTAGACCCACAAGACAGTCACAAATTACTATTAAAGATTGGGTGAACGTATACTCCAAAAAAAGCAATAGTAAAACATCCCCAATGTTTTCACTTTTACAGGTCGGGCAATAGAAACCATCAATCCACATCTGGTTGGTGGTTTCAAGCCCTCTGAAAAATATAAGTTCGTCAGTTGGGATGATGTTCCATTCCCAACTGTTTCTGGAAAGTCATAATCCATTCCATGGTTCCAGTCACCACCAACCAAATTTTTTGGGGTGGTTTATGAGTGTTTAACCAGAGTATTAACCATTAATATCCCATCACATTAACCACTATTCACCATTGATTCACCATTGATTCACCATTGATTCACCATGGTTAACCAGGATATCTTGGTGATTTTATAGGTGTTTATGACATTGCTTTACCAAAATCTCTCCCAATCTTTGACCTATCCCCCCTTAGGATCGTCCCTGCCAAAATCGCGCCTGCTTCTTTCCCATCCTTCAGTAGCTCCAAGGCCTGTGGAAAACGTGGCAATGTGACCAACGAGCCAAAAAACCGACCAAGCCCAAAAACGGAAAAGTGAATTCCATCAGTCAAAAACAGACAAAACCATCGAAAGACATATATTGACGTGTCAGGGTTTTGTATGTGAAAAATGATATGCTAATCTTCAAGCAACACAAAAATGGGTGTGGTTCAAAACGAAACTTGGCTCTAGCCAGCAAAACCCGAGATTCCATCAAAGCAGGAAGCAAGAATCTAAAGCGCTAAACGTTAGATATGCATATATCATATCTACAAAAGGACAATGAGCATAGGTAGTTAAGCAAAAAAGCATAAAAATCATCAAGAGATAGCAACAAATGAAAATATCCTATGGACTCGGACTCCTAACGGAATACGCACTTTCCCAAGATCTTTCAGCTGAACGACCGCTTAAAATGGAGTTGGACTTTGGTGTCCAGGTCGGACGGTCCTCAAAAATTGATGGTTCTTGCTAAGAATGACCAATTTGGTCTTATTCTCCTTTCGTACATAGCATTGTCATCCCCAGTTCAATAGATTTCATCCATAACACAATTCCGCCTGGTTGGCTTCACACATCAGCCTGGTCAAAACCTAAACCTGACCATTTTTGGGGTTCTTCACATCCATATTTGACTAGTTTGGTGTTGCACCGGATGACCCATGGCTGCCCAAAACAAACCAGCGCGACCAGTCACCTGCTGCCAGGCACTCCGTTTGCCCAGGGCTACCACTCGCTTGGTGAGTTCCACCAGACCCTTGCCATGGCCATGGCGGCCATGCCGGCCATGCACTGCGACGCATGTGGCGCCGCATGTCATGCAACGCCCGCAGTGGGAGAAGCTGAGATCGAAATTTGAGGGATGGGGGAACCAATACCCTTTGGTAATTTAACATAGCTATTGAAAATACCCCATTTATAGTTGATTTACCTATTCAAAATGGTGATTTTCTATAGTCATGTTAGTTTACCAGAGCGTAAGTGGGCGGCAGTCGATGCCGGTGAAGTTGATGAGGCTGACAGGTATACATTTACTCGAGCAATTGGAAAACATCACCTCCCAAGGTTATAAGTGGGACGGACTTAAAAGACTGAGAGATAAATTCACGCCAACTTTTACTAAATTCAAAGATGCCGATAGAAACCATGTTCCTTTCAAAAACTAGCCCCAGAAAGCCGCTGAATACCTCCGTGATGTTCAATGGAAAGCCTCTTCTACTGAGTCTTTTCCTTCACGTTTGCATATCCCACTTCAAAATGCTAGGTACATCCGGATGATGATTTTCCTTTCGCCATCACTGAGTTGGATGCTGTTCATGTTTGAAGAGAAACACGACTCCAGGCGCCAGGCGATGATGGCATCCCTGCAGAATTATACAAATGGTTGAGTACTGAAAACAGACTGCTACTGCTGAAAGATCTGAAAGCTGCCAGTCCGACTGTTTCGAAGCCGGTGCCATGGATAACAAGTTTCTCAATGCGGTTGTGGTTTCAATCTACAAGAAAGGTGATTCATCTTCTCTCGCAAATTACAGACCCATCTCATTATTGTCCTGCTGTTATATAAGATCATTAAAGTGCTGGTTAAGAATAGGCTTTTAGCAGGACTAGATCCTTGGCTGATGCAAACTCAGTACGGCTTTCGACCTAAAAAATCCACAAGCCATGCCATTTGTGTAGCTAGACGTCTTCAGGACATCGCCGAAGAATCTAGAAGTAGGAGTACTCTGATCCTATTAGATTGGGAAAAAGCCTTTGATCGTGTAGCCCAAGAAAAGGTGATTGAGACTCTAAAACGCTTGCTGGTCCCGAATAGGATTTGCAACTTGGTCGCGAGTTTTTACCAAAATCCTGAGTTCAAGGTCAAAGTTGCTTCAGACAATTCAGATTGGACATCCCAGCGAGCAGGGCCTTATTGAACTGTGTACTCCACGCCAGATTGAACCAATTGATGGCATATATTTCTCTGAAGTGCTTTTTGCAGATGACAAACTGATTTTTGGCGCAGCGAAAAAAGCTGCATCAACGTATTGCTACATGCAATTGAAAGACATTCTGAATATTTTGGACTGAAACTAAATTACGATAAGTGCATTAACATTACTGCTAACCAAAGAGTTTCGTCAGTTTGTTTTCCCCCAACCGGTCCTGGGCAAGGTAAGTTGGTTCCTATAGAAAAAGTTCTGCAGCTTACTTTGGCACAATTTTATCCGATTCATTCAGTAATAAGGCAGAACTTCTGAACAGATTGGGAGACTGCACTGCGACAGCGAATAGGGGTTGGAATGAGTTCAGTTGACTAATGCCGAAATCTCTCGTTTAAATTCCTTCCAAATTAAGTCTCTAAGCAGAATTTCGGGTAAACCTCCTACTTTTATAGACAGATCAGAGACTAATGAGCGATTGTATCGTGAAATTCAGGAACACTACGGTTGCAATTTCGAACATTTTGGCGATACATGGCAGAAAGCAAGACTCAAACTCTTTGGTCACATTCTTCGTAGTAGTAGAGCGGACCCGCTTTCGCAAGTCACTTTCGCCTCTGATGCTCTTCACCCTCGGTTAGTTTACACTCGTAGACCCGGAAGACCAAAAGCAGACTGGGTCTGGGAATCTTACAACGATGCTTTCATGGTCATTAATGGACAGAGCGCTCTTTTCAATCCTAACGACATTGAACACTTACGGCAAGTCAAAACAGAAGCACTTCGCAGAGAATTCTGATCATTTAAGGCTTGCCAAGGCTACTTACTAGTACGGCCTCTCAAGGTAATCCGTGTGGTATCTCTTCGATGGGATGTACGGTGCTTTCCACTGTTTGTATTCCATTTTAAGAAGCATTTTGCTTCATGCGGAGCTTGTAAATATGTGTGCCGGGGGCCCTTTTGCTCGCTAGAAAAAAATATATGTGTATATATACACTACTGTATCAATCAGAAGCTGTTTGACGGCGAAGATGCAGCTGACCGTTGAACCGTCCATTAAAAGACTCGTTTCGAAACGTCTGAAACTGAAACTGGGATAGCAAAGTGTCCATCCCTACTAGCCTACAGGGCCTACATGTGTCTTTGCAACGTCCAAGCAATGCACAAGTACACCTGGTTGGTGGTGCAATAACCATCTTGAAAAATGATGGAGTTCGTCAATGGGAAGGATGACATCCCATATATTTATTATGGAAAATAAAAGTCATGTTCCAAACCACCAAGCAGAGTATTAACCATTAATATCATCCCATTATTCACCATTGATTCACCATTGATTCACCATTGATTCACCATTGATTGTGCCAATCTACATGGGCCCAAAATCCTGCCCCATTTCAGGCAAATTTTAAGCACATCAGTTCCAAAGAGTTCCTGCAGAACTTAAGCCACTTACTAAGCCGCATTCGGAAAAATCCCACACCGGTTTCAAACCGAGGTGGAACCGTTCGCTTCACCGTCCCCAATATGTAACATAATTATTCCAAATCCAAATCCCACATCCATGTAAAAAATGTAAAGAGATGTAAAGAGTCACTGCATAAAGCTCAGTAATGACTAATGACTACACATTTTTTTGAGGGATTGGAACCACCAACCGTAGATACTGTGGAGGCAAACATTCTGCATATTCCTTACACAACACAATGGGAACCATTCATTTTCTGGGCCGCATCGCAGCTGGTGCCTTCCTTTAAAATTTGAACTCTTGTCATTTTCAAACCGACACGTCGGCACTGGAACAAACAATGACCCACTCTTGCACGCGAAATGTTTCGTGCATCATGAAACTTCAGCCTAAAGAAACATCTGACACAAACCGTTTTGAAGTGTATAACTCCCATGTGTACCTCATCGTATCTTGATATCGCTAGATGATGTTGCAATTTTTCAGAATCTCCCGTGCTCAGGGTGAGCTCGCTTTGCAGTCCAGTCCGACACATGCAGAAATCGCCATGTAGCGGAACATGCCGCCGCCCCGCAAGGGCCACCTTCTAAGGACGATCCCATCCCCAGCTGATCCCATTCCCAGCGAACTGGAAAATGGCCATTGAAATAGTGAGTTTTCCCATTAAAAATGGTGATGTTCCATAGTTATGTTAGTTTGCCAGAGGGTAATCTTAAACGTTTGTTTGTTTTTTTATATGGGGTTGAAGGGATTGATAGGGATTGCCAGTCCATGGCTTGTGATCTCCAATATGTCGGGTAGTATGTCCCCCGAACGAATCATCAACCAACAGGGGTGGATCGCAGCTACTGCTCACTTTAATGGATTATCCCAGCTGTGACAAAGAGGGATACAAACCTCCCCATCAACACGTGGGTGCGAGCAGCATTGGTGAGAAAATAGGACATGTGTGATGAACCCATTGTCATATGATCCAATTTATCATAGAGCTTTACGTTTAGATACTTACTTACATTCTCCATCATTCTCCCATGTTTAGATGGTTTAAGGGCAATGTTTTTGCGGGCTACGAGTACAATCTAAAGAATCTACCCTCTGGTAAACTAACATAGCTATTGAACATGGCCATTGAAATTGAGAGTTTTCCCATTAAAAATGGTGGATCTCTCCATAGTTATGTAAAGGTTTACCAGAATCTAAGGTACACATATAGAGCTTGGGGTATCTCCGAATTTTGGGGATCTCATGGCCTGAGGTTTCCTGTTTTCAGGGGGTGCCATGGAGTACCCCAAAAAATCATCCATGTGATTTTTCGGATGGTCCATTGTAAATACGAAAAACTGGTTGGTGGTTAAAAAAACCATCTTGAACATATGAGTTCGTCAATAGGAAGGATTATCCCATATATATCCATATATGAAATGGAAAACAAAGTTCATGTTCCAAAGCACCAACCAGTTATAAATACTATAAACCAACTGTTTTGGGAGATCCCCAATGGAAAACCTCCATGTGATGTGACCGGGGCGTCCGTCGCCACCCCATTTAAAATTAAAATATTTAAAGCGTCCAGGCTGGGGTGAAAAAAACACCATGTGAAATATCTGAAATCAGGATGCCAAATATAGTTTGATATTTTGATATGGTTTGCCTTCCCCGGGGTTTCCCTCTTAGAAAAACCACTTATGCTATTTATACTTAGGCTATATAGTCGAATTCCCAAAAAAAAAGGAGGCCCAGAGGTGACTGCTACGGCGCTGAAACTAAAGCCCTGGTCAAAACTCCTCACGTTGGACGACAGCGTGGCTAACCAAAGGTCGTCGATTTGAAGCGGAGCGTTGACCACGGCGGGGCACTTTGTCCCGCACATGGCGGCATTGTGCACACCATGGGGGTAGCCAGCCGAGTGAGTTCAACTGGCCACCAGGTTCACCAGGTCCTACCCTACAGGAAATACTACATGCAGTGGGCAGTTTTTGCATGTCGTACTGATGAGCGACTCGGATGATCAACTCTTCGGCAAAATCACTGGTGCTAAGATATGGCAAGAAAAAAAGGTGCTAAGGGGTAGTGACTTTCTGCCAGGCTTGCTTAAAAGCGGAATCATGATGAATCATGTTCATCCATTTGAAACCATTTTAGATTTGTCGCGTGACCTCATTGCACTTTGGAAAATGTGTTGGTCATTTGTCGCAAAGGTGTCTGATGCGTTACAGGAATTTGGATGAATTAGAATGATTCACCATTATGAAATATACGGGGATTTGAGACGGGTCCCCTTACCAGTGAGTTACTTTAGTTCATAATCTACAACTCAGGCTCAGGTTGTGTCATTTCCCTGCTTCTTAAAATGTACACATCTAGTCCCAAAAAATGTTAGTTGAATTAGTGTTAAGTGTTAATTAAAAGTCCCCTAAAAAAGAAGGTCTGTATGTGTCTGGCTCCACTTCATCCAATTTCGCCAAAGAATTTTGAGCCAACTCATCAAGTTGCTCAGCCGCGGATGTTGTCAACCCAGGACTCATGTTGACCCCTGGTTTTACCAAACTGATAGAGGAAGGGTGTATCATTTGCTTTTCCAAGAAGACATGATCTCATTCTGGGGATCGCCCTCTAAAATCCCTAGCTTGATCTACAAGGGTTCACTAGTCCAGGGCGTCCAGGGTTGATGGATTAGCCGCCCTCTCTCCAGGCTTGATCCCTGGTGAAGTTTAAACAATCTGCAGATCTGCGTTCAACATGTGCAACATCTCTGTATCCGCCAATTGTGCCTGAGGAATTTTGGGATGGTGATGGGTTATGATGGGTTTCTGTGCCTACATAAAATAGGGTGATCTCTTGGTATATAGTATACCTGAACCAAAGACAACCAAAGGATGATCTGGGTCAACCTGTGGGCTTGCGGGGTGGCGTTTTGAAGCGCTGGTTGCGACCTTGATCTGTGGGTGTTTCTTTGAGTTTTAAAATTCCAAGAGGCTAAACAAGCACGGCTTCAACACGTAAGCTTACAATCGGCCGTCAGATCGTGGATCTATGGAATCTATGCGAGCCCCCCACGTGGTTACAGGATGTTGCAGGGTCAGCCAAACCTGTTGCAGTATGAGCATCACAAATTGACTCCCTGGGAACCACAGATGGAGGAATCATGGGTATTTTGACTGTAAGGAGGGTACCCAAGTTTCACCCAGACCCATATCTATGCAACAAAGCAATCCGTGTTGAGTCTTGCAAAATCACATGACAAGGACAAGGAAGTATCAATTGTGGAAAGAAAGCCCCAGTCTGAGTCCAGTCTGAGTGGTTGTTGCTGGACCAGTTCCATTCTAATCCAATTGTGACCCAACATCTAGGTAAGATCCACACTTATCACAGTCTACACTCCTCACAGTCCCTGATATATGCCATTATAACATCAAATAATCATCAAATCATAGTCTTCCACTAACCATACCCCCACGAAATCATAGGATTCCGATTCCCTTCCCATCCCTTTCCCTCCAAGCTACAGCGCAGCTCAACGGAGTCTGCCCCATGGCATCCGCGCAGTCCACCCTGGCTCCCACGTCGATGAGGAAGCGCGCCACCGTGGCGTGGCCGTTCTGCACCTGGGCCGCTCCGTTTCGGTGCCCGGAGGTGCCCGGAGGTGCCCGGAGGTGCCCGGTTTCGGTCTCTTGGAGGTGCCCCAATAGATCGAGTTTCTACATGATATTAGGGGACATGATTGCAGGATGGGCCCCCCAAGATAGCTATCTAAGTTCAGATATATATAAGTGGCTTAACAAAATGGTGTTTATGGTGGATATATAATGATATTTAATGGGTGTTATAATAGTTTATGAACCAACTTGTAACTGGGGGCCATCATGTGGATACTGATGTTGAAGATTTTACAGATAAGTCTAGATAAGATGAGGTAGTTAAAGATGATCCAATTATATCCATTTGAAGTGAGGACATGATACTTATCAGTGGAGATTCTATCCCCAAATCATTTTGTGATCAAGTAGATGCTTCCAGTGCACCAAGTCTGCCACTGACAACGCGACACTTTACTTCCTGGAGGCTGGAAGAAGACTGGATGGAACACGGTGAAACTAGTGTTCTGATATTGAGTAATGTTGAACTGATGATGAAGAATCAAGAATGCATCATCGAAACCTGCATCAGATTGGGGTTTCCTAACACCAACTCATCCAAAATTAGATCATTTTGGTATTGAAACCCATGGTTTTGGGGATCCCCCATTTTAGGAAACCTCCAGATTGTTGATTAAGAAAATTCTTCCAATCATGACTGTCATGAATTACTCCCTTCAAAAGGGGTTTGGCAACTGCCTCGCCGAATCGATAGGAAGCGACCTGGAAGTAGAGAATTCAGGATACGCTCTGATCACCAAACATGACGGTCACTCAGTGAACAAGTCCTCATTTCTAGATGATATTCCCCCCCCAAAAAAAAAAAAACTCTATTTTAGACGTATTCCCATTCAAACCTCCGTAAATTTCTAGAGTTTCTTCCACTTCCCTGGGCCACGGGGATTTCTTAAGCAAGCAGCTGCCCACCACAATGGGCTGCGTTTTTGGTGGTCCGTGGAATCCCTGGCGCGATTTGTTGAACCCAATTTGGCAGATCTGATATTTTTTTTGCGAAGCTCTTGTAGTTATATAAAGCTCTATCTAATTGGTGGTTTTAACCATCTTGAAAAATATTTGTCAATGGGAAGGACTATCCCAATATATTATATATGGAAAATAAAAAATGTTTGAAACCACCAACCAGGTATAGACAATTGTCCCATTTAGGTACCGATCTATCGGGGATTTCCCACCTAGCCATGTTTGAGGTACTGCGAGTGTATAGCTAAACAGCATCCAAATGAGGACGACAAAACTGGGAGAACCACAGGACCTCAAGCCATAAAGACATGAGAATTGAGAGACCAACAAAGCTAGATGAGCTGCCGAAGTAGAAATTGGATAAAGATAGTAGAAATTGATAGAATTGAATCACCAAAAAAGATAGGTACATATATCTGCCGTAGAGGGAGCATGTGGGACACCAAGCTGGGAACCGTCAGAAAAAATATTCCGAAAAAACTGTCTACGAGCACTGGGCTGGCCTGTTGGCACCAGCGTCCACCAAGAAGGACACAATCTGGTAGTGCCCTGCGATGACAGGATCAGGTGAACTGAATAGGGAGTTTCCTAAAACAGGAGATGGAAAAGTCCTCGAATTTGTTGGATCATTCGAAGTCTGGGAAAACCAAAGGCTTGTTTTGGAGTACCACAATTTTGAGCATCATCCAGGTTCAAGAAGAGAAAATCAATCACCAACTGACAGTCTTTCTCCAAGCAGAAAAGGCTCTTGGAAATAGAATCTGTTCTGCAAAAAGCATGAAGCAATTATGAAAATATCACTCCCTTCAGACCACCACAGTTTTCACTACATAAATCTAGGTTCTGTTCCGGTGTTCGTGTAAATTAATCAAACCTAGCAATGGAAAATCCCACATTTAAAGACACATTTGATAAATGGATATTCATTACTGGATATAAATGGGTATATAATGGATATTGGGATGAAGTTTGAAGGTGGATGAGTTTGTTCATGTTTGTTGATATCAATGTAATATGAATGCACTATCTTTGGAAATTTTATGGACATGTTGGTGATAAACATATCTTGGGATTTTCATGAGCGGAAAAGACATGGATGACTTTGTTTGGACATTCTTAGTGGTCCTCTCAAACTATATGAAACCACGCTAAATAAGATGACCCAAACTTGTGAAAAACAAATCCGTCTCGTTCCATGATGAGATACAGAGATACAGTATATGATTTTTGGAAGTTTGGACGTGGTAAACATCAAGAACCACATTTAGTCCTTCTGACTCATTTGCCTACCAGGGCTGCTATACAACCTAAATTACAGGTAAATGTTTCCAAATAGGTGATGTTACTTCTCTATCTAGCCAATCTACCTCACTAAAAAATTGGGACCATCTTTTATCAGGGCTGTTTATAACTTCGGAAAACAAAAAAAGGTTCCAACAAATCAACATCAAATCAACCACAAATCAACCACAAAACAACCCGGGCATTGTTCAATGGCTCAGCATATCTCATCGCTCTCACCGTCCGCCTTTCTGCGCCGCAAGACTTAAGGGCGTCTGGCCCTGGTGGTCCCTCTCTTCCAGCCCGGCTTCCGACTGCACCTCGGGAAACGACACCAACTTGGGCCTTGATGTTACCCTCTGGTTATGTCAAACATAGCTATTGAAAATGGTGACATAGAAAATGGCCATAGAAATAGTAGATTTACCCATTAATAGCATGGCGATTTTCCGTAGTTATGTAATGTTGTGTAAATGTTTACCAGAGGGTAAGCAACAAAATGTGGAATGTTCACTCGCAAAATCTTGGAGCTCACGGTTTGCCAGGTTACCAGTCAGAAAAACGAGATTCCGTGAGAAAAATTGTAGGAAATCAAATCTCAAATCATGTGAGTTAATCAGTTAATCAACGAAAAGTTCAATTTACCAACAAACATTGTTATTTAACAAAAAAAACATGATACAACCAACACAAACGTGGATTCAACATGATTCAACATGATTCAACCAACATAAATGAGGATTTAATGTGCTTCAAATGGATTTTTACAGGGATTTCATCAACAATTTTGAAGGAGTTCACCAACAAACATCAGAATTCAAATGGATTCGAGCAGGAAAATCGAACACATGTGGCCCACTGATCAACAAACATAACAAACTATGCGGATTTAACCTGCGTAGTCAGGGGAGATAGTCAAGCAACTTATGGATCCGATCAACACAATGATGGGGACCTTTTTTCTCATCAACTTTTGAGAGTATCCGGTCACAACATGGCTGGGTGAAGCGGCAAAATACACGGGATTTTTCAGGTTTCAACATGGTTTGACCATGTTTAAACAGTTGGGGGTTGATCCTTCAACTTTCGGGTTTGCCTCCAACCAACTCTTGGGGATTGCATTCCAAGATACCAAGAAACGTACAATTGAAAGCCTCAGTGCGATGAGTGTGCCAGAATCATTGAGGATTACTCCAGAAGTTGCAAATTCAGGTACAAACATGTACAGACTACATTTGGGAAGACAATTCAATCCAACTCTAGCAGTAGGAATTGTTTCAGTTACTTTCTTGGAACAAGATCCAGTCAAGCACTGTACTGATTAACATGTTCTCCGTTCCTGCACCGCTCCGAATATGCCAAGCCAAGCTGGAAAAGTTGACCATGGTTGAGTGGTCGAAATGTTTGAGCCAAATGGGGTTTCCATAAATGGATGTTTTTTGAGAAATCCTATTATACAAAATGGATGATTAGGGGTACCCAGATTTATGGAAACCCCCAGATCCATTTTTGCATTGCTGCTCCATGACATCTGGATCGTGGCATGTCAACAATGTTGCCTGTCTATGCTGGGCATAGAAAACCATCCGAAAAATCCAGGTGTGACGCACGACTAGTACCACAAAGTGAGCACTGACCGTGTCTTGGAGTTCCTGACCTCTTCTGTGATCATTCGTGTGAGCAAAGTGTGCAAGGGACAAAGACCAGTCCACAGCCAACGAGAAGTTTGTGGGTAAAGTATGTTGAATTGTTCTTTACCCATCTTTACCCATTGTTCTGGGTAAATTATCATATTTCACTAACCTGAATCTTAAGGCCATTTGGGCATGATTTCCCTATTAACCATGATTCCAGTGAGGTCGCAGTGAGGTCGTTATAATTTACCCTCTGGTAATTTAACGTAGCTATTGAAAATGACCATTTATAGTGAGTTTTCCCATTAAAAATGGTGATTTTCCATAGCTATGTTAGTTTACCAGAGGGTACCCAGATTGTTGAAACCCTTTCAAACCCATGATGTCTGGGATTTCCCCAGGAAGCTGGCGCCGTGCCGCTGTGCCTAAGCAATCCAAGCAACTGTCCACTCTCCATGGCCCAATGCAAGGGCTGTCGTCCTGCGCACACCTCGCCAGGAGATCAGAAACTCTGGCAGCCCTTGGTTTCCACTGGCTGATGTTGGTTGACCCATAGTTGACCCATAGCCGCTATATCAAACATGATCAAACCACTGGTTTCAAGGTGGTAGAAAAACACATCAAGGGTTTATATGGGTTCATAGAGTTAGCCTATTTAAGTGTAAGCGTATGCTGTAAGCGTCTGCCATCAAAAGATGCCAAGATCATCCAAGATCTATGTAATTGTTCGCACGTATCTAGTATTTATCGTATGTGGTGTTTTATGGCTATTTAAATAGTTACAAGAAAGTTCATGTCAATGTCATCCAATGACATTGCAATGTCCCTTGCTATGGTACTTAGCTGACTCTATTTATATAGTGGTCATGTATAATCACACGCAATTCTCACTGTCAATTTATCATCCAATAATCTCCAAAGCCCCCGTCCAAAGAAACAAATCTAATCATTCCAAATCACTCCAAATAGTGATCTTTATACTTTAATGTCATGTCATCTAGCCGTCCAAATGAGTGAAAAAAAAACTAAACCCAGGCTCGGCCTCACGAACGTCTACCGCCACATCCACCAAGAAGCGCACCACCTTGGAAAAAACAAACCTTGGGATGACTTGTTCAAACTGGTTTTAAGAACTTTTTAGTATTAGGTATTCTGAATCTATAGGTGATTTCAATCCCTTATTCATGTTTATGTTTCCTAAATCATGTTTTTGTTTAATCCACATACATCCACTCAACCCATCAACTTTTGGCTACTTTGAATATGTTCGGCCAAAAAAAACTAACATAGCTATTGAAAATGGCCATTTATAGTGGATTTTCCCATTGAAAATGGTGATTTTCCATAGTTATGTTAAATTATCAGAGGGTAGCCACCACTTGTGGCGCCACGAGCCGACCTCAAAGTGACCCCTTTCAGCAGCTCGGCAGAGCGGGGACATGTCCGAGCCGTCGCGCCGATCCTGGCGACGACGTCGCCAGGATCCCAAGTGCGACAGTTAAGGGCCCGTCAATTGGATGGAGAATGGATGAAAATGGAGTGTGTATGTATATATATATATATTATATTATATATATATATATTATATTATATATATATTATATTATATATATATTATATATTATATATATATTTATATATTATCCAAAGATATATGCCAATGAAGGTTTCTGATGATCAAAGGTGATCATCGGCCTCAGTTCCCTATCTGAAGTAACTTCAGGGACCATCTTTGGAAATGCGTGTGTATCGACATAAAAAGAAAACAGAAAGCACCGGATGCAGCAACAATCTGGTTTCGATGTGCCCAATATGGTTTCAAAGCACTTGTGGAATCTGGATGATCGTCTCTACAATCCTAGGCAGGCACATGATTGATGTTGGCATCACAATGACAGACCTAGCTAGCGGTTGATTTATGTTCATCTTCCCCACGGTGATTGTATTCATTGTAGCATGTGTTCTGCTGCTTGCAGTCCCCTTCCATTGGTGTCGTCCCACTTTCGCGAGTGACGCGACACTCTCTTGCAATTTCCGTCAGTGATACGGACAGCCAACGGTAAATTTGACACCACCCAAGAAACAAGTATCCAGCCATCCCATTTTTGAGGGCCAGTCATTTTGGGCTATAATAATCTAGAATCGGTACATAGATAGATATATTTATATATTTTTATATAAATATATAAATATATATCATTATATATCATTATATATCATATATAAATATTATATATATATGTATATGGATGTGTCCCAAAAAAGGGTGGTACCCCTAAATCCTCCATTTTTGTTTGGGATTTTCCATTCTAAATCATCCGGGGTACGTCCTTTTTAGGACAGCGCCTTGTCAGCTCCAGCATCAACCAAGCACCAAACGACTTGACGGTGGCCTGGCGTTGCGTCAGGAGTGTGACCTGGAACTGGCCATAGAAATAGCTGATTTTTAGTATTGAAAATTATGATTTTCTCATAGTCATGTAAAATTTTGACCAGGGGGTACTGTGGATTTTAGTACTAACTCAACCTTCCATTAAAATCCTATCGTCCGCGTTCCATTAAAATGCAGAAACGTTGAAGTTGGGAGATTTGACTCAGAGAAGTGTGACATCAAGCAGAAGGCAGGGAGCCGAGCGACAAGGGTGAGATGGAAAAGCAACGAAATTTGGGGGCTGTGATCATGAACCATCAACTTACTGGTGCTTAGTAGGGAATGGATGGGAATGGGGGAATGGGATTATTATTGATAGGTATTGTGGATCATTCCTTCATTCCCCACTAAGCATGAACGATTTTTTGAAGTGTGTCTAAAAATTTGGTACTCCAAGCCTTGGCCATTGAGAACCAAGGGAGTGGATTTATGTTTTAGACTTGTATACCATCACTGGTTGGTGGTATACCTACCCCTCTGAAAAATATGAAAGTCAAATGGGAGTATTCTTCCCAATATATGGAACAATAAAAAATGTTCCAAACCACCAACCAGATCAAGATTGGAGATACAAGGCCTTGAAGCCCATCATTTGAGAACGGCATCATGACACTGACAATGGTGAACTGGATTTCCAGAGAAATGTCTCAACGCAAAATCTTAGATCACCGTAACCATCATAATTAATTCATAATTTATATTTGGATATTGAATTGAATCACATGTTTTTTTCAAAATTGGAATTCAACCAATGCGTGTAGCCAGTCTCTGACACGGCAACAGGAACTGTCTGGGAGTCACACGACACAGAACCCATCCCAATAGCACCGGGATGCATCACTCTAGGGATGCTGTCTGACAGCACTTGACCGATGAAAAAGTCGAAAGTACAGTAAAATCTTTCCGCCAAAACAGTCCTAAGAACAAAACATAGTTAAGACCTGACCATTCAGACCCTGCCTCTTTATTTTCAGATTTCACCGTTTCACCCCCCTTGTGATTTTGTGGTGGTGAAGATTCGCCAGAAAAAAATCCTGAAGTTCCCACCGTCTTTCTGAATGGTGGGCTTTCAACTGACTGGATGAAATCCCCACTGGCCACACATTGAAAAAACAAATAGATCCCACTGAAAAATACTCCAATTCCACCATATAGACATATAATAAGATATAATAATATATAATACTATTATAATAATATAATAAATAATACGTACTAATACTACTAATAATAACATAAATATACATATATATGGTCTATCCCAATCAAGCAATCAAAAACAATCACGTCATGTCCACTCTCCAAAGGCACCTTGTTCTGCCGCTAGGGACCTCAGAGAAACAGGGCCGCGTTGAAGCCCTGATTTCGCCCAGGATTTCCCATGTCATGGAGGGATACAAATCTACGGTAGTATGCTTCAAAATTGCTGACATCCCAAATATGCGGCCCAACTTATGACTATAACATACTTGAACAACACAGGTGGTAGTTTTTGCACACACAAAACCAAAAACTTCACGGAAAACAGGCAAATGTTGATCCATAAGCTCCAAATTGATGATGGTTCACCAGCCTTTTGCTAGCATAATAAGTTGTGGCTGGTTTCAATTTATGATGGTTCACCAAATTCTTAAGTTCTTCTTCAATTTCTTCATGATACGTCTTCACTACAGAAGATTTCCCAGAGTTAGTCCCGTGTCCATCCATTCCCATGGTCCAGTTTGCGAGTTGCTAGCACGAAATCCGATTGGTCTTTTCCGATTTCTGATTTCAACCCATCCCAAAAAATCCAAAAAGCTCAAAGAAATTGGGGTCTTGATCCAAAAAAAAACATAACATGCTTAACATTGCTTAACATATATCTAAAAACAAGATATCTTTGAAACCACCCAGCGTTTTTTTTCTGGGTCACCATCTTGATTTCAAAAATGATCATCTTTCAAGGCGCAGAGGCGAAGAACCTGCATCATCAATCACCTCCACGGCGGCACCAGCCTCGTTATGGATTGGTTTAAGGGACCTTGGCTGAACCGAAAACCATGGGTTTTTTTCCATATGTCCCCATCTGGTTGGTGGTATACCTACCCCTCTGAAAAATATGAATTCGTCAGTTGGGATGATGAAATTCCCAACTGAATGGAACGTCATAAAATTCATGTTCCAAACCACCAACCAGCCATGATTTGTTTGGAGGTTTCCTGCAAAATGTCAAAGCAGTCCATTGAAATATGGGAATATGTAATTCATGGGACATCATAGTTGCTCGTGGCTTGACCATGGTCAAGAAATGGAGCAAAGCGCAGACATGTAACCACTATTCATAGTGGATTTGGGTGTGTCTGAGAATTGAATCTGTCCCCAACTATGGCATTTTCATTGGGACTTCTTATGGTTCACCTGTGGATTTTCCAGGCGTTTCCCCTAAATCTTTGGACCAACCCAGAGAGATCTTACGAAAATCACATGGTGATGGTCCTTTGGAAGTGGGGTTCCTTGATGGAATTCCACAATGCGTAGTATATTCAAGTCATATTGCCAAGCCACATATATGTATGTGTATATATATATACTGTATGTATGTATAAAGATGTATGTGTATATATATATACGTATATATAGTGGTTCCACAAATGTTTCAAGCGGAGCACACGCTTCACAAGACTTGGCAAAGTTGGAAAGCTCTTGGTTCGGTGCGCAGATATGATTCGTTGCGTTGTTTGGCATAAATTTGTGTCCACGCTTCCTTGCCAGTGTTTTTCATCAAATGAAGAAACGCAATGATTTCGCCAGGGGTTCTGTGATTTTTTGGGTGTGTTCATTATTTAGGTATGTTTGGCTTAAGGAATCATTTACTGGTTGGTGGTTTCAACCCGTCTGAAAAATATTAGTCAATGGGAAGGATTATCCCATATATTATGTAAAAAAACATGTTCCAAACCACCAAACAGATTTAAGATTGGGTACCACACTTATTTACCCTTGCACTTGGTGAAGTTTGGAAGCGGGGACCAATGGATGCTTATGAACCAACACCAATCAGCCCTCGAATCCTGCTACCCATGTCATTCCTGCTGACTTTTTAGCAAGTCTGAGACCTGATATATGTGTCCGTTTTTTGCAGTGCTTCCCTAGATAGAGCATCATTTGCAAACATTTTTCAGGTCGTTTTTGAGATGCTTTGAGGTTGTTTCTCATTCACTTATTCCGAATTATTCACCTGATCAATGGGAATTCCAGGATCCTAAATTGGAGGTACGTCAGTACCATATTTCTGGCCATATTTTCTGGGGATATTCCCTGAAATTTAGGCCTTATTTTTCGGCCTTATATATGGTACAGTACTTCCAATTTAGGATCCTGGAATGGCCATTGACCTGACCACTCCTGTGCCCAGTCTTGCTCCGAGTCTTCGCGGCCAAGTTGCTTCAAGCAGCATCTTCACCTCGCCCGAAGGCACCAACGGGTCCAAATCCGAGGCATCGACTGTTGACTTATATTGGAAGTGTCATAAAATGCTGGAAAATTAGCATTTCTAGTTGATTTCTAGTTGATTTATGTTGATTTATGTTGATTTACCTATTGAAAATGATAATTTACCCCCATGACTATGGATTTTGATAGGATTTTCCATTATAAACCATCCTTTTTTGGGGTACCCCCATTTTAAGAACCCCCCATTACTGCGTCAGTTTCTGGAAAATCTAAGCACTCAATGGGATCCTGGCCACGGCACGAGGGGCAGCATAGGGAAATTTTGGTGGTAGATAAAACCAAAGCCATGAATTTTGCATCATACATAAATCCGCCCGCACCGAAGGTGCCGAGGCGTTTCTTGTGTGCCTGCGTGAACCGTTAGCAATTGCATTATAGCTAATAAGCGTTAGAGTGAGGTTTTGCTCTAGAATCCTGTGTTTTTGCATGTTTTTTAAAAGGGGTCAAAATTCCTGATCTGGGCCAATATAGGCCAAAAATGGGTCAAGATAGGCCCAACATAGGCCCAACATGAGCCTAAGATAGGCTCACATGGGGCCAACATAGCCTCAAATGGGGCCAACATACCCTCATATGGGGCCAAGATAGCCTCATACGGAGCTAAAACGTGCCCAATAAGTGCTCAAAAAACGTTCGATATGGCCAAACATCCTCCAACATATTAGACTTCCCGAAACAATTACACTTGGTGCGGGCGGTTTTCGTCACGAAGCGACCGTGAATATATATATATATATATACTGGTTGGTGGTTTCAAGCCCTCTGAATAATATGAAAGTCAGTTGGGATGATGAAATTCCCAACTGAATGGAAAAAAAAATGTTCCAAACCACCAACCAGATAAATAATATGTACATACAAATGCACATACTATATTAATTATATATAATGTGTATACATCTATGTATATATATATATAGTATATATATAGTATATATATAGTATATATATAGTGTATATATATAGTATATATATACTTTATTCACCTTTTTTTCCATGTGGGGAATATCAGAAGAAATCCGCCAGAATTTCAAGTTGCTGAGAACTCCAACCCATAAGCGAATGTTTTAGTAGTCCCACCCTCCTAATGTTATATGCTACTCATGCAGGCCCCAAAAAAAATGAGTAGGGCCAGTACCAAACCAGGGCCTTCGGCCACTCCCCTGGTGAATTGGTATTATAGTATTACTATTATGTTGCCCTTCAAAGGCATAATTTTGGAGGTATGTATATGGCAAAACCCACTGACCAGTCCGGATGATGTCATATTGTCACTCAATAACTGTTTTATACTATAGATGTATTGTATAACTGTATAACTATCCCATTACCTCCCATTGTATCCCCACATTTTATTCATATTTAACCATATGATGATGGGATGCATCAAAATCTACTAATAACATATCAAATACAATATAGCCATATTGTGGGGATGAACATTCGTTTTCCAGAAATTCTAGTGTTCACCAGGGTACCCGGGTTTAGACATGTAAGTCCCATTACCATATGGAAAAATCACAAATCCATCGTTTGTAGATGCGAAACCTATGGATTTTCGTGGCTTGTGCAATGTTTACTGGAGGGTATCTTTTGGTATGTTGCTAAACAATCTCAAAAAAAAAAACTAATTATTTCATGACAGTAATTATGAATCCATATAAATTCTCATCGCATACCGTATACCCACATTTGATTCAGCTTCTGTTATCCCACTAATTCTCCCAATCACATGTTCCCATGAAATCCATTCCCATCATATTTGATGACACCCTCTGGTAATTTAACATAGCTATTGAAAATTGCACATTTAGTGCGTTGATTTACCTATTCATGATTTTCCAGTTCGTAAGGGTTTCCATAGTCATGGGGGTACCCCAGAATGGATGGTTTATAATGGACAGTCCTATCAAAATCCATAGTCACGGGGCGAAATTGTCATTTTCCAGTTCGCTATGTGAAATTACCAGAGGGGTATGTCTATCCCCACATCCCCCAATCATCTTCAGTGCTGTTGGTCCTCATCCTTTGATTTACCCTCTGGTAAACTAACATAGCTGTTGAAAATCACCACTATAAAAGTTGGTAAATCAACGATAAATGGACCATTTTCCAGTTCGCAAACTGTCACAAATTACCAGACGGTATATCATTAAATTTCACTACATCCCATTAAATCCCATCAAACCTCCATTAAACCCCATTAAACCTCCATGGAACCAGAGGGTATCTACCATAAAACCAACTCCCTTTGCTCCCACTCATGCCACTGGTGCCATCAGGGCGCCATGGCGAAGTCTCCGTGTTCTGCCGCGAAGCTCAGCGCGCTGCGTCGGGAAGTGTCCAGCTGATGCACGTCGGCACCCACGTCCAGCCTGGGGACGGGAACAATGGGGGGGTTGAGGGGAAAAAAACTGGGTACAGTTGTTGGCAATTTGTTAGTTATAAGATGTTATAAGTGGTTATTGTTATGGGATTATACATTCTATGATTTTGGGGTGGTGACAAAGGTACTTATAACTGGTATTTCGGGCCATAACTCTAGGAATTGGGGACTTACTAACTTAGGGCCCACTTCAGGAGTGAGCCCACTCACGGGTGAGCCAAAAGCCTTCATTCCCTGGCCCGCAGCGGTGCCAGCAAAAATTTGAGATTTCCATGGATTTCTATGGACTTCTAATTAGATGAACATGAACAAAATGAGACTCTCTAAGTGAAAAAGTTGCAAATTCATGGAATTTTGAAGAAGCATCCAGAGGTGTTGATCAGAAAAGCCATGCTCGGAACCTTGCTAGTACTGATGGAAACATATATGACACTGTCAACCAAGAATAAGCAGTTAATAAATGTTAATAACACCTGACTGGTTTTCCAATTTTGAATATGTTAATGGCAAATCATCACTTTCTGAACGCAGCCCCTACAATTAATCAACCTGGCTTCAGCCAGCAAGCCCATTATGGAGTGTATCACAATATCAAATACAGTACATGGGTGTGTCTGAAAATGGGGTATACCCACAATGAAATAGCCATTGAATAGGGAACATGATGATTAACCAGTGGGTTTAGGGGTACACTATTTTCAAAGAAATCAACATCGTCCCCTAGGATTCTGATGATTCTGATTCTATGCCGAGCCACAGAAAGCGCAGCAGCTGCGGGTGTTCAAAGCGCGCCGCCAGAATCAGCGGGCTCTGCTGTGGAACAGTGGTGTCTGGTAGGTCTTTGTCCGCGCCGGCATCCACCAAACACCAGACCTAAGTGGAGAATGTTCAATGGTCATTTCAGGAACCGATTGAGGACGGAGGTACCTACCATATATAAGGCCTATTTATGGCCTGAAAAATGGTACAGTACCTCCATCTGTTGGATCCTGTAGATCTCCCATTGAAATGTCATAGGTCGGATAGGTTTTCGAGGGGATTTTTCGAGGGGAACGGTTGAACTTTCAACCATCATCTTGGGGGGATGTTGTCTTCCTATCCAATTCCCGGACTGATCGAGTTAGGACTCGTGGATACTGAAAAAATCGATCCAAGTGAGGTGTAGTGGGCTACCAGTCTTACTTCATCTTACTTCATCTTACTTCATCTTACTCCATCAACACCCGTTGTGTATGTCATTTGTCTCAGGATGTACGAGGGGTCAAAAGTCCAGTCGAATATCGCGATGTCATACGGCGTCCCACATACACGTTGCAACCCAGTAACTGGTTGACCATATGTCCATGGCCAAAAGATGTTACCCTCTGGTAAACATACAAAAAACTATTGAAAATCACATTTTTTCATGGGAAAGTCCAGTATAAATGGTCCATCTATACCATAGCTATTTTGACATAACCAGGCCGGGTATATGATTTGTGGTCATCCATCCCATTGTGGATTCAATGGATTGATAACCATCCCCCAAAAAAAGGTACCATATGGTTATGACATTCACAGTTCGCCATGGTTTTTCGATGGCCCTAATCGAAATAGATGGTTTACCGTTCTTAATAGCATGGTGGATCTTTCCATGGCAAACTGGCAATGTCATAATCAGATGGTATATATAAAATCCATCTTTTGATGGAACATAAGATCAGGACCTCTTCGCGAAATTCGCGACCCTGTTTCTGCTTGCGAAGTTTTCTGACCATGTCTTGCTTGGTCAACTCGGTAATCAATTCCCTTCGGTGAAACCACGAGTTTTCATGGCCAAAGCACCATGAAATTCACGGCTAGACTAAACCACCATGTTTTCATGGAGTTGTCACAGCTAAACCATGCGAAAGCACCATGTTTTCATATGTTTTCCATGATCAAATCACCCCAGTCGTCATTTTTCGACCAGGCGCAAGCTGTGTGTGTCCCTTCTCAACCGCCAAGCACAGGGGCCGACGTTCTGAGGTGCCACCGTTGGGGCAGGCGCCTGGGACCCAGGGCTCTGAGAACTTTGATTTCGAAAAAGATGGTCTTTTCGAAATTTTCCATGTGGCAGTGTGTCAAAACATGTCAAAACCTTGTACCCCTGGTGAACATCAAAATAGCTGGTATTAATAGGTATTGATCCATACCCATGTCTTTTCCAGTTGACAAGTTGATAAGATTTGATAAGTATCCCAGCATTTTTGGGGCACCCAGAGAAGTGACCCACACTTGCGAAGCCCAGAGAAGTGAGATGGATGGCAGGATAATGGAGGATGTAAGCAAACTTGTCTGTCTGAGGACATATGGTATTGGTCTAAGAAAACAAAGAAAACTAGAACAAATACTTTTTGGCTTATGACAGGACTGTTCAATTCCATGGGGCAAGGCGACTGTACAGGAAACATGTTCCAATCAAAAGTCTGCTGGTAGGATGAAACAAAACAAATGAATACAAATGAAACCACCAGCCAGTTACATGATATGCGTATATATTGCAACTAATATCAACCCCGGATTAATAAACCATGGTTTATGAATCAGGGTGGTATTCCCCCAAAAGTCATGATTTGATACTTTTTATGGTACCTTCCCAATTCAAAAGCCGTAAACGGGGTATATTAATCCAGGGTTGACATTACAGTACTGGTTGGTGGTATACCTACCCCTCTGAAAAATATATGAGTTCGTCTTGGGATGATGATTCTTCCCAACTGAATGGAAAGTCATAATCCATTCATGTTCCAAAGCACCAACAAGAGTATTAACCATTAATATCCCATTATTAACCACTATTCACCCCAGAGTATTAACCAGAGTATTAACCATTAATATCCCATTATTAACCACTATTCACCATTGATTCACCATTGATTCACCATTGATTCACCATTGATTCACCATTGATTCACCATCTTTCACCATAGTTATTGTACTGATCACTAGCTTGCTTTTGACAAATAACTCGGGATCTCACCCGAGGGACCTTGGCTCAAGACCCGACGGGCTAGCTCCATACTGCTATTCTCGGCCGCGGCCAACAGGATCTCCTTGATCTGCCAATCACAGCTGGCATCCCGTTGTTTTTTCGCAAAAGTGTATCTAGGGGGGTTTTATATACTATGTTTTACTACCATCATGCCATAACATAACCATTCATTACAAGCCGAGTACTGCGGTTGTTGTATCCCCACATCCTGCACTGCACACGCTCCGCAAAAATCCGGCCGTCTCCTGTGGATCTTCGGGCGGGTCCTTCGCACAACATGTTGACCCAAAGCCATGTATTTTTGACATGTCTGTTTTTGTTCTTTACAGGTAAAGAAACATATAATATATATATATATATTATATTTGAATATATATATATATATGAATTCACTCATGTGGCTAGGGTGACTCTGAGGTATGTCTGTTCGATGTGGATAGTCAGATATAGTGAGATATCGCGTACCTGGATAGTTCGGGACAAAAACTTTGGTGTCTAATGATTCGCAGCGCGTCCAGCTCCTTATCTTCCAGGATGGGCACGTCCAGGGCCATTTCCATCTCTGCCATGACAGTTGTGAGCCACTTCCGATGCCCCCAGGTATTACTGGGAATATTCTATAATATATGATTATATATGTTTCATCATATATATGATTATATATGATTATATATGATTATATATGATTATATATGATTATATATGTGCAACTGACTGGGTGGTGATGTACAATTACCATCAATTACCTGTGGTTATTCTAATCTACTACAAAAGCCATAGAAAATATGTGGTAGCGGACGACCGTCGGCAGGATCTTGCCACGATGTGGTTGCAGCTCATGCTGAAGAAATGATCGAATCTTTGCAGGACAGTGTTCCTAAAGAAGATTCATCAATGGCTAAATATGGCTAAATATGGCTAAATATGGCTAAATATGGCTAAATATGGCTAAATATGGCTAAATATGGCTAAATATGGCTAAATATGGCTAAATATGGCTAAATGTATCCTTTCATGTGCATCTCTCACAATGGCTAAATATGGCTAAATATGGCTAAATTGAAAATGCTGACGGACAATACCAAAAAAACGTGACATGCACAAACCTGGACTCTGGTTAGCCTCCTGGGCCATGGTACCTGGGATAGCTGGTATCATCATCTGAATAAAAGGCTACCGTAGGAACCACCGGAAGAATACCATGAAGTTTTGGCTGATTCACACGTTGGTGTTTTAGTCAGCTTTGCCTTCGCATATCTCGGAATTCTCAATGCCAGAATGTAAGCTTGACAAAAACTGGTTGGTGGTTGAGCCTACCCCTCTGAAAAATATGAAAGTCAGTTGGGATTATGAAATTCCCAATATATGGAAAGTCATAATCCATTCATGTTCCAAACCACCAACCAGAAAACATCTCAACGCCCTTGCGACATCCTCATTTTCGCCACATTTCTGAGATTTCCCAGCCAGTGTGGTTTCAACTCACCCCTTGCGACAGTCCAAGGCGTCCATTTTTTCGGACTTTGAAACCCATCCCCACAGTCCATCCCTGACACAAGGCTGATCAAAACCCTGGAAGACACCTTTGATTCCGTGGAAAAATCCCGCAATTCATGTGGAATGGAATGGAAAAATCATCACAAGTGATGCCTGGTTTACACATCAAAACACATGGAATTTCATGGTTTTTTCTGGGCAACCCAATCATAAACCTACCATTTGGGGATGGTTTATACCATCCATCGTGATTTTGGGAATGCTTTATGAAATTGGCTTTACCACATTACTGTTTCTGAATTTCTACCCTGCCAAACATGATATGAACCCCAGCCCCAGGGCCCAGAATTTATACCTTTTTTGCAGCATAGGGCACGACCGGGTCGGCGGGTACCGAACTCGTCCGCGGTAGTCGACGTCTCGACTCGCGTCAGACTCACCGCGAGGAGTGGTCGCTGGGAGAGGAGCACGGTCAGCGTAGAGGCTATCATCACAATGGCACAACAAAAAGCCAGCAAAAAACATCAAAAAACCATTGCAGTCTCTTTTTTTCCAACAAAAAATCATCAAACATTTCGCTGCGATCTGGTTGAAGAATTCCAGCTTATAGCTGAGATCGGCAGAGAGATTACTCAACATTTTCAGGTGGAATTTCAAGATTCTTGTTTTGGCCGGCCACCAACTTCTGTGGCCTTTCTTTTATCATGGTTTCAGTGCACCTCAGCCCCATCCTCGCGGCGCGGGTCACTGGCCTCGATTTATGGCAGGATTCATGCGATTCATGTATCCTCCAGACGTGAGGCTAAACCGATAAGTATGTCGTTAAATCCACGAAGGCAAACATATCGACCCATTACTAGAGGTACATTGACATGTTCATTTCATATGCTTGAACAGGTCTAGGAATGTACCTACAAATCAAGGGCTGTGAACCAACATCAACTAACAATCAGTGTGGATCCTAGATACTGAGCAGATATGGATCAACCATGATCAACCAACAATGAGCGTTTAACAAACAAACATGATGATACGATATATCAAACAATGACGGGCTTTATCTTAGACACGATGCAAGTGATCTTCCGACAGGAGACAGGCTCAACCTATCGACCTTCAAAAACCTACCCATCCAAGCTTTACTACTCCAGTGTGCGCAACTACTACCCTCTGGTTATGACTAACATAGCCATGGTATAGATGGCCCATAGAAATAGATGGTTTACCTGGGTTTACCTGGGTTTACCTATTAAAAATGATGATTTTCCATGGCGAACTGTTAAATAGCCAGATGGTATATTCTATGACGATTCATAGCATTCATGGCTCAAAAAGACTGTGTGGAGCTCCAGATCTCCATCGGTTTGTTGTACAAAGTGGCTGTCTCCAATGGATTTTTTTCGACCTCCCGCCGTGTGTCACGCGCCTTATCGATTTGTGATGGCGTTTGCCACTGCCGCCTGACGGCACAAATTCCAAGGAGTTGGGGATCAACTGAATGGCCCTTTGAAAGCATCATATAGCATCTACGCGACCCATAGAAATGTTCATGAAGTGAACTTCAAGGCAAGTTGTCATAACATTGAGATGATCTGACGAAAAATCAATTTGAAGGGAATGTGGTCTCGAATTCGACACTTCGAAAGGTCATGGTCGACTCAAATTTCCAAGGTATCTAAACCACTACATGTCCACTTTGGACAACCACTATGCATCTAGCTGCCGGAGCAAAGAATACCTGGGTGCCCTGGGTGTCTTGGTACAAGCCTGTTCAATCCTGGCATCAGTGATGGTTTAGTGCGAGAATTCATGTGCAACTCGAGAAGTCCATTAAAAATTAAACATCAATAAATCAACCGAGTATGGATCAAAATTGTGTACCCCAATTGTTGGATGGTTTATACTAAAAGGTTGGTGGTATACCTACCCCTCTGAAAAATATGAGTTCGTCAGTTGGGATGATGAAATTCCCAATATTAATGGAAAGTCATAATCCATTCATGTTCCAAAGCACCAACCAGCTAAAAATATCTAAAATAGACTAAGCCTCCATCTGTGGTCCAGGTCTAAAAATCTTGGAGCTCAGCCTTGAAACCGGCCTCTGCGAGCGTGGCCATAATCAACTGCTCCGCGACCATGAGCTGCTCCTAGACGATGTCTTGGGCTCCCACCATGATGTGCAACTCAAGGATGTCGCCAAAAAAAGAGGTGATGTGAAAATTATATAAGATTATCATGATGTGCTCTCCTTATGATGTCCATTATGAAGACTAGTACTAGTATCTACTATCAACTGGGGATGGGTCAAAACCCTGGTACCTAGTGAACCCCAAAATAGCTGGTGAATGGATGTTCATCCCACTAAAAATGTATCTATAGGTATTGACCCATACCCAGGTGAGCAACTGTTATTTCAACTATTATCTACTATTATCCCACTATTATCCCACTATTATCCCACTATTATCTACTATCAACTGTTATTGCTGTCATGTTGATTTCTATTAACACCGTGTTCTCATACCAATAGGATCATTCCCCATGTCGATCTCCTGGCTGCCAGGGCCCAAAATGGCCGTGTGCCTTGGAAATCCATGGCCGTTGAATCAGGGTGTCATCAAACAATGGGGAAATCCCAGAGGAAATCCCCTGTAAATAGAGGCATTCCATGGGAAAATCATCTATAAATCTCCATAAATCTCGGATGATCCAAGGCCAGTAACTGCCAGTAGGTGATTGGAACCTCCAGATTCTCAGAATTTGGATCCCTAGGGCAAGGAAATGGACCGACATAATTGTATTGAAATCTATTGAAGAAACGAATTCTTTGGAGGAACCATGTAACATACCCATATGCTCCATGAACTGAATATCAACGTTTGGCCCAATCATGGCCTAAATGTAAACATTCCAGAACCATGGAGCATATGTAACATTATACAAACCAAACAGTAATCACCAAAGAATCATTATTAACCACATAGTAACCACCATTAACCATAGATTGACCACCATTAACCATGATGCTTCAGTGGTTCAGTGATTCATCGCGATTCATCATTGCTAGCCACTATTAACAGGAGATACCACATGGAATTGTTCATTCATAGTGGACATCAACCATTATTAATTAACCATTATCAACCACAAGAAAAACTACTATGACCCACTATTAACCATGAATTAGCCATGGATCACTGGATCACTGGATCAGCACCATGACGAACCTTGGCAAACCTTGGTTCCCCCAACGGCTGGCCGGGCAGATCCGGAGGTCTCAGCTCGATCTTGGCGAGCGCGGCTCGCGCGGTTTGCGGTTTGCGGTCTCTCCCCATAGGAAAAACATCGGAAAATGGTGATTTCAGCAGCAACAAATGGGGATTTCATATATTTCATGGAAATTTCATGGCTGATTTTATGCCCCATAGGATCCATGTATGTTGTATATGGTAACATGGATCCCATCAATATACCCCAGTCATGTTAGCATATATACCAGCACCATGGATCCGTCATGGGTGATAGCTAAGTTGGTTTATGAAATCATGGGCTTCCATGTGGATTTATTGATGCGGTTAAAATTTGATTAAAGCCCTGAAAAAAAACTCTGGAGCCCCACTTTCCAGTGACGGAATCCGGGGATGCGAAACATCATATACGATTGAAATGTATTTACACGGAGTAAATCATGATATAGCTATTATGATCTATTATATATATATACACACACTTACAACATAGAATTATATTACGATTCTACTATAACATACATGATATCATACTATAACATTGTAGTTTCTAGTTTCGTGTCCAAGCTTTAAGGAGTTGCAAAAGTAAGCGCATGAAAATTATGGTTTTAGGCTTCCAGCATCATCCAACCAATGCATTTCTCTGTAGATTATATCATTTACAGATTGATTGCCTTGTTGCAAAGACTATCTATTGTCATCTATTGTCCACATCTTGTAAGCCATCTGTACTCGAAGGGAAACAAATGACATGGTCAAAGGGGGCATTAGGAAAACGAATTGCATATCATATATTCATATCAAATCATCATATCCCCATCACA